TCTCGCTTGTATTATTTAACTTTATAAGAACACAACGAAATGAATATTACGATAATAAATTCCGCCAGTCTCTTAGTTTCTATAGGGCCTGAAATTACGGAATTTATTTCTTATTGAATACTTTTCTTGAGGGATACTCATAACTCCTTGTATCTTATTTATGATTTCTTTCGCTTTATTTTGTGATGATGTGGTGAAAAGAACGCACATTTACAATCTTGTGTTGCGACGAAAATATCTAACAGGGCACTCTCCACATTAAACTCTTCTTGAAATGCAATAATGATATTTGCTTGCTTATACAAATTTGTGCGCATACAATCCTCATATGACATACGAGCATTTTCAAAATAAAGCTGTTTATTTGAATTGCCGCATATTCAACAAACATTGTAGTATCCATTCCACTCACAATCTGTTTCTGGTCCTATCAATATAACTCTTAATTCCTTAATTACAATTCTAAAATTTCTATATTTACTGCAAAAATACATAAATAGCTCCCACGATGGTAAACCCGTTATATATACTGAACTCGCACCTACGATATGTACGATAAAGAGATATTGTGCTGCGTGTTTAGTAAACCTACATTCCATTTTATAAATTCCTGTTACATCAAGTAAATGTCTGAATTGCTTTAACCTGTCATACAGTGTCAATGAAGCTGACATAATCCGAATAGATGCAAGAGACCTCATCCCAAGTTTCTAAATTCCGTTTTCTATATTTTTTAATATATATATTAACAAATATAAACATGTCATCAAAACCTATTGTCATTATAAGAAACTTCATTTTTTGTGGATATGACTTTATGTTAGTGTTATTGATAATTGAAATATTCAAGTTTAACAATACCAGTAAGTCCGTGCACTTAGATTTGTGTTTTTCTTGAAATTTCAAATAGTGTTTGTCACAGTAATTGGCGGAATAGCAAATGTTGCAAGTTCGTAGATTACTCTGTAGGTAACAAATGAGGCATAATTTTGCGCACATCATCATCTCTATCTCGTATGACTTTAAATCACGTGATATTTTCATTTGAATTCCTTGCATAAATATCTCTCGGGACGACCTCTATTCTTCATCTGAGTTAAAACGATGTACGCTCGTCCCAATCTTCTATTCTTGCGTTTGCCATAATGACACAGACTTCCATATGCGAACTTTTATGAATTATTTGATGTTCATTGCAACAATAAAAGACCATGCCGTACGAATCTCATGTGATTAATTCGTCTTGGCTACTTGACTTCTTACAGACATGGCAAATGTTCGGTTTAAAAAACTGATTATAATTGTATCCTGTGTATGATTCTCTAACTAAACGCAGACGTTTAGTTATATCGGACATAATATACTTATGCAATTGACAATTTATACTAACTTTAATCGTTATATTTATTTAAAAATAATGCTGGATATTTGAGCGAATATAATAATTCTGTACACAACAATTCTGTACACAAATTCAATTTAGATGTTCAGTTGATGATAGCCCGAAGGACACTAATAATAGATTCGTGTATATTTTCGAATACTCTGTGATTTACTGGCAATATATATTGTAACTGATGAAATAACAGTTTCGTACAGCCATTAGCACGTACAACATTTACATGCGTTGATCTGGAATATTATACGTATATACTATACGACAATTACTCAACTATAATCCGTGCAACACATATATACATTAAGTGAATAATAAAATAACTAATGTTAAACATAATTGCACAAACATATGCAATATTTATTTATATAAACAATGTGGGGTATACATATTAATTAATTAATTATTGCTATCAAAAAAATTATTCTATTCTTCTTATAAGGATATTATAATTTTGCTTTGAAATTGAGTTACACACAAATTCACTTTCAAAGCGGACATGAACACATATACAAAAAGACCTCTATGATGTTTCCTCAGTTTATCATAATAATTAGTTGTCTGAGAAATTGCAACTTCAAAGTTCTGAAATAGTATATCTTGCCTACTATGCAAGATATTACAAAATTATTTCACATTAGCGATATAATAATCATTAAACCGAGACTAAACCTCTATAACATATGTTACGCATTTTCAAAGAAATAGAAATTCAAGGCAATATATTTGACGGTGACTATATATTTTATCAACAAAGAGAAATTAGTTATACTCGAATGCTCTCAAATACATTTACATGTAATAAACAATAATGCTGAAATATTGCGGATACATTTATAACTAAATTGCAAATACAATTATAACAAAGTATAGAAATACAAGTATAAGAATATAAAATTACAATGAAGATTAAACTAACGAGAAAATTAACTGATCTTCACTTTTTGTCGGGCTCAGGTACACTTTGCCGTTTCAGTTCAACTGAAGAACGAAGCCTTAGGATCATTGATAGTGTAACATATGTGAGGCACTTATCAACAGCCGATTAAAATTTTATTCGTACAATATAAACTTCGTATAAACGGCCATAAAGGCCATCACACACAAAATTACATAAACGCATATGCATAGCATAAGATCGTATAGACCAATGGGCATCGAAAATTAAGCATCAGTCATCAATATCGCGACTTAATAATCAAAATCGCGATCTTATGCTATGCATATGCGTCTATGTAATTTTGTGTGTGATGGCCTTAAGGCAGAGCAATGCAATTATTAATCCTATGACCCTGCGAACTAGTTAGAGTGGAAAAGGGAAGTATAGTAAGTAAGTGTAACCTCGAAACCGTTCCCAAACTGAAAAAAATTCCGGACGTTGTTATATATTAACTCAATGTCTTGTTGTCTCGCTTGTATTATTTAAGTTCATGAGAACACAACTAAATAAGTATTACGATAATAAATTTCACCAGTCCCGTAGATTCTGAAAGGTCTATAACTACAAAATTTATTTTCTACAGAACGATGTTCTCTAGGAACATTCATTACTTCATGTAACTTCATTATGCCCTCTTCTGCTTCATTTTGTGACGCAGTGGTGAAAAAAAACGGACATTTACGATCTTGTGTTGCGCGGAAAATTTCAAACGGTGCACTCCCCGCATTAAATTCTGCTTGAAATGCAATTATGATATTTGCTTCTTTATACAATTGTGTGCGAATATAATCGTCATATGACACACTTGCATTCCCAAGGTATAGTTTCCTCTTTGCAATGACGCATCTGGTGCAAACATTGTAATATTCATTCCTGTCACAATCCGTTTCTGGTTGAACCAGTATAACTCTTAATTCCTTAATTTTCTTAACCGAATTAAATTCATGGCAAAAATGTAAGAAAATCTCCCATGATGGTAAGCCCGCTACATCTGCTGAACTCGCACCTATGATATGTACGATAAAGAAATAACTGCGTCTGAAGCGTCGATTAAGATTATATTCATCTCTATAAATCTGTGTTTCTTCAAATAAATTTGCGAATTCCTTTAACCCGTAGTATAGTGTCAGTGGAGCTGATACATAATTCGACGTTATGTAACAATCCGCATACCAAACATTCGACAGTTTATGTTGGTCAACAATGTATCGATTACCAAATGCAAACATGTAATCACAACCTTCTTTCATATTGTAAAATTGTACATTATGTGAATACGATTTTATAAGGTTATTTATACGTAAGATATTCAAATTCAAATGTACCAATAAATTCAAGCACATGAACTCGTGTTTTTCTTTAAAATCCCATTGGTGCTCGTCACAATAATTGGCGGAATAGCAGGTCCTGCAAGTTCGCAGTCCCATCTGTTGGTGACAAATGAGACATGATTTGGCGCACATTATCATCTCTTTCTCGTACGGCTTTAGATCACGTGTTATTTTCATCCGAATTTCTTGCATAAATGTCTTTCGAGATGACCTCCATTCATCATCTGAGTTAAAAGGACGAGCGTTCGATTCCAAGTCTTCTGTTCTTGCAAATGGAATAACTGCACAGACTTCCATATGCGAGCTTTGATGCATTATTTGATGCTCTGTAGAACAATAAAAGACCATGTCGCACGAACCACATGACATTAATTCGCCTTGATTCGGCCTCTTGCAGACATGACAAATATTCGGATTGAAAAACTCATTATAATTATCTTCTGTGTATAATTTATCGAATATGCACAAGCGTTGATGTATATACATAATTTATTAATGTAATTGACAGTTATCAAATACTTTAATCGTTGCATTCACTTAGAAATAATGCTGGATATTTGAGCGAATATAATAATTCTGTACACGACAATTCTGTACACGAATTCAGTTTTGATGTTCAGTTGATGATAGCCCGAAGGACACTACTAATAGATTTGAATATGTTCTTGAATATTCTGTGATTTGTTGACAATGTATATTATAACTGGCGAAATAACGAGTTTCGAATAGCCATTAGCACATACAATGTGTACATGTGTACATTGCGAATATTATGAACTATAAACTGTGCGGCAATTATTCAGCTATCATCCGTACGACACATATATATAATAAATTAATAATAAATAGTTGATATTAAATATACTTACGTAAAAATATATACTATTTACTTATATAAATAAGGTGGTGCATATATATTAATTAATTAATTAATGTTATCAAAGTAATAATTCTATTTTATATGAATATTTAAATTAAGTTTTGAGAAATTCAGTTATCAATTATATTTTAAAATTCCGTTTAATTTTACATTTTGATCTTCCGTTTGCAGTATACAAGCACTCGCACAATGCAGACACAAGTCGTAGTATTGAAGGGAATGCTATACTTGAAAATTTTATCGAAAAGTACTGACTTTCTTCTTCTAAAATTTACTTACTTGGTTAAATAATTTTAATACCAATTTTTATTTTATATATTTAATGTACCCATATTTTCATTTTTAACATACCATCAGATATTGTAACTGAGAATTGTTCTGATATTCTGTTCCGTAAATATATTTCTGTTCTGTAAATATACTTTTTCTAAAAAACAGAGAAATGTTTAAACAAAAATTTGTCTCATCAACCTTCTTATGATATTATTTTACCAATGGATTTGACATACCTCTATTAGTATAAAATATTGTTTTTAATGCATATTGTGCTTATTAGTATAAAACATTACGTACAATATTTTATCATAATTTAACTTCTTTTTTCCTTTCTTTCAATAGGTTGCTGTGTCATTAGATTGATTCGTCCTGTGGTATTTGATGGAAAAATATTTAGATAACGTTATATTTGCGAATACGCAAATGGTCTAAAAGCAATCGAATCCTGTTCACATGTGACATATTAAATCTAACGTTTGCAAGATATCAGTCAAAAATTTTGAGACCTACTACTTTTC